ATATGCGGGTAAGGAAAGAGAGTGAGGTGGATGCATCGCAAGTCTACCAATCGTAAGCCGCCGTCCCTGTACCACCATGTTGTGAAGCACACGGTGGACTTCGTCAGAAGCGATAGCCGAACTGTCGGACATCGTCGACAACTGTCCATCAGTCGCTGTTTTTGTATGGCTTTTGACAAAACGCTCAAGTCGAAGCTATAGGATGTCAGCCTAGTCAGTCTTGTTAGCAGCCCCCACATTTTGTTCTTATCAGTACTCCACCAAACAAATCTATTGATTATTATTTAATTCGCGCAACAAAGTCCAGTTAGGAAATTAGCAATTGGTTTTATCTGGTTAAATGTGTCTGCTTATCAATCTATAAATATTCCTCTTTTGTTTCCAGAAACACGGCCACTTGCACTTCTCGATGTATTCAATGTCTGAAAGACTACCGAGTTCGGCACACGAAGAGACAAGAGAAGCATCCAGGAAGGATGGCGCCAAAGGCCTCCCATCGTCCTCTTCTTCCTCCTCCTCTTCCTCCTTCGCCTCGCGCGCCCGTAAGTCGAAAATCAAATTCGGCAGCCCAGCACGGGGAGCTGATGAGCCAGCCATATCACCGAGAATGGACAGCTTTGAGAATCCCTCCTCGTCTACCACTCATAGTCCAACTAGCACACCACCCTTAGCAAATATGCGACCGATCATGTCACCCGTGACACCTCTCAAGTCCTCCGAAGTCTCCTCTGGGCGACAGCAGCGGGCAGATAGTTTTCAAGACAACTGTATGGCTGACAGGAAGGTGAATGGACGCATTGAGCCTCTACTCTCAAAACCCTACTTGACAGACGGCATAGTACCAAACAGTCTGGGTCGTTCCGAGGGCGCAACAAAGTCCGCTGTGTCGTTTCCCTCCTCACCCCTAACGTTTGTCGATTCTTGTGGAGGTGCAAGCAAGACAGGAAGACCACAACGGCCGGAGATACAGACTACTCAAGTGACGGTCCAGGAATGTGACGACCCAGTCTCTCGAATGAGTGGCCACTCGAAACTCCAGAACCCCGAGCCTCATGGCAGATCCCATCGCCTGGTGAAGGGTGTGAGCGGCAGTTTCCCACACCGTAGAAGTATGCGCACCCAGAGGACCTACACCTCCCTCTCAGATGTAGTGGAGGATTCAGACGAGGGTCCGGTCGCGTCTGTCGGCATGCCAGCTATTAAAGAAGCAAATACCGTTAAGACTGTTGGCTTTCAGTTTCCCCTGAAGTCGGATAAAACGCCCTCGCTGGACACACTGGATGTCAGCAACAGATCCTCCATCTATGATAATTTACCCCAGTCGGTAGATTGTACACCCTCCCTTCCAGATCCACAGAGTGTGGCAAGTGATCTTGCTGCGCCAAATGTGGAGCAGGTGCTTAAGTCTGCCGCAGCTGCGCTCCTTAAACATTCGGATGAACAGAGGACACACCCTCAGATGTCTGACGGACGGGATAAACCCGTGCAGGAGGAGGATGGTCAGCATTCCTCGCTGGAAATCCGGTTACCGCGGAGTCACTATGACAAATGCTCGTTGAGCATAACTCCAGGCAAGAGTCCCACCGGAGAGGACGTGGACCTTAGTCGCAGCACTATTCAAAACTCCTGCCAGGACGTAAAATCGTGGTGGATGAAACAGCTAACTCCTCAGTCACCGAATGAATCGGGTCAGGAATCGGGTCAGCTAACCGTCCCGTCCGGTATCCGCTTTCAGCAGGCTGAGGGCAGGGCGAGCGGGCACACGAAAAAGAATGCCTTTCTACCCTCAGCGTTTGCCAGCACTAGTCATCTGGGTGTTGCGGGTCGAATTCGTCGGCGTGTGCAGAGTATTGCGGCTGGACAGCCAAGCAATGATTCGCCTACCGGAAACAAGTCTCAGCCAAGAAATGAATACTGAGCGAATACATAGTCCAGATCGTCTATTTTTGAATAGCAGAAATAGAATCGATTTTCCGCTCTTCATTTAAATGTGATAACTTGTACATGCGTAGATTTATGTCCTGTTACTTTTTCTTCTGTGCTAATGTCTCACGTCCTTTGAGTTCCCCGTGTGGCTACGCGAAAATCATGACCCCATAATGTCTTTTTGCGTGTATTTGTGTACTGATATTTTGCCATTAAATTGATGCTTCGATTGTTTTTGAGACCAGTGTACCCTCATGAATGGTTTCTTTCCAGGAATAATAGAAATTATTCCGTTAGGATCTCTGCTAGAAAGGAACAACATGAGCATAGTGACTCAGTTAATAATGGCCCGGTAACAAAGGGAGGTTGAGAGTTTGGTTGTTACACATTAGTAACTATGGGCTATCGGAAATCATTGATCTATTTTTTGCTAAAACAGTAAAGTGACGGTTAAAATGAGACTACATAAACGGGCCAAAACTGCAGTTGCACTTGTTTGCAACGAATTATTTGATTTTACTACTACTAACAGCTGTTTGAATAAGCTTCGCGGTGGACTGCCTTTAGCCTTTCTAGACAATGATACGAAAAATTTATGACCTTATTTCTGTATTGGTTGAATAGACAGGAATGATTAATGCTTAAAAGGATACACAGACTGATACTCTCGGTGCTTTGTGTAGTCTGTCAGAGAACTTCTATACGTAGGGATCGGAACCCGTACTAAGTAAACTACGCAAACCATTTGTCCTACGTCATAACGCATTCTATAACGACGCAATCAAGACAGCCGATTGGGAATGGCTGAAACTATGCAGCTGACGTTCGGACTTTTACAATATTTGCTGTGTAGTTTTCCACAAGACAGTTTTGGAGCCCTTTACGCACAGTTTTGACAAGAAGCAACTGGCCGCTGACTCTGCCTTCGAAAACATTGGTTTGAATTCTTAAAAAAGGTTACTGTGAATGGAGGTGTTTTCTAGGAAAATGGCAGAGTTAAATTGGATCGAATTCGGAGGACACTTTGGTACAGACTCCTTATAAACAACACAACAGTAACAAAAAACCTCAGGCTTATGCAATGCGGGAGCGGTGGAAACAAGGGTTAAGTGGACCGGGCATATCAGGGAAAGGTAAGTAAAAAAATAAAAAAGTTATAAAACAATAAACCTAAAACCAAACAAAAATAAAACGGGACAAAGATAAAGAGATTAGCAGGATTTATTTACGTCGTAAAATTTCGTGACCTCTTATTCGGCTGCAGACGGTCGTTGCCCCCTTATAAGAAAATGAACTGTCCAATTAAATTTCAGCCTAGAGGGGTGAAACATGATAGGTAAAGAGAGTAGAAACAATTAGTCTGAGATGTGAGCGCATGGTGAGGGGATAGATGAGGGGGGAGGTAGTTATCACAGCATTCAGTTCATGTTAGTTCATGTTCATGAAAGCCAGTGGGAGGTGGCTAAAGGGGGGGAGGTTGAGTAGGGGACAGGGTAGCAGTCAGTCCTAAAGGGGACGAGGAGGCACGAGAGGGGATGAATTTATCGATCGTTATCACGGAAATGCGAAACTGGTCACGTGATGCAGCTGCTTACAGAGTTCGGTTTTTTGCTCTGTATTGCAGCGGCCTCCGCAAACCGTAGGAAACGAATAAAAATAAACTACAACTTGAGTAACATTAAACTAAGCTAAGCAAAGTATAAAGTAAAATTAAACTTTACTAAACTAAAAGTAAATAATAAGGTAATACACTTATAAGTAACGTATCCTTGATAATAAACTACAACGAAAGATGTAATAATTTATGCATAGTAAAATGCGGTGTTGTTTATAAGGAATCCTCACCCAATACTTAGTTTATTTTTGGTTGTTTGCGTTTGAGTTGCTGATATCTTGGAAGGCTTTTGGATCTGCCTGTTATCATTTATTTCCTCGTTTATGCAATAAAAAGGGCCACGGGGAAAATATGTCAGAGTAATATGGGAATTAGATTGGTGCACGGCACACAGTAACCAAGTTACTGAGATTCCGCACATCCCACTACTTTATAAATACGGAAGGCGATGTAGTGGGACGTCTAGGCGCATGATTCACGCCGCGACAACTACTTGTTTCTAGTTGCAGCTTGAGCTGGATGACCGGCTCAGACGATGGGCTTATGCATAAGGGATGGAGGAGAGAACGAGTTCAAGTCTGCCGCTTCTATTCCCACGGTACCGACAGCGTATTCCTGACTTCAAAAATCCGACGCGCCAAACATTGTGGGTTTGAAGGCTGACAACTGACGGGATAACTCGGTCCTCCTATAGGGAGAGAGTGTCGGGCTGCAACGACTTTTTAATGTGAGACTTAAAGGTGAGATACTAGTCGCATTCTTATTTCTGTGAAAAGTCTTGCCTACTGTGTGCGGCCGATAACATGTGTCGCACATATAGGCGGGACGTTTAGGTTTGTCGACCAGTCCTTTTCTGGTCACTCTGACTCCACCTTGGCAACAGGCTCGGTTGGACGAGGTAGAAAACAAAGAGAGTGATATGCTTTATTTTGAAAATATGATCCCGACATTTTCCGCAAAAACGGTTCCCATTCAAAAGGAATAAAATAAAGGCGCACAAACTCGCAACATCGGGAAATCGAAAAGTAGTCCATAATCGCCGATGACTGAAATTTTCGACATCGTGGATAAATGTCCTTAGAAAATTGTCAAATATAGGCCGAATTGGACCGCTTTCAAAAGGGCGCTAGCGTCGTGACCACATCCACTCATAACTTCATTGTAGCTAAACAAAGAGGGATGAAAATCGCCCACCGACGCATCAATGCTAATGGAGGGAGGAAAAATGACAGCTCAATTTGAAAAGCCCTCCAGAGTGCGGCAGATGCGGCGCAAGTTCCCTGTCATTATCAACTACTTCATGCCCAAGTCACCATTCTGCGCCCACCAAGATGTGGAGTACATTGTGAGCATAGTCAGTCACGACAAGCGAACAGACATCTCCAGGTAGCCCATATTCCTTCAGTGAGCCTGAAGCCTCGGAAAAAAGTACGAAGGTAGGTTTACGGATCAGGTTGCGTGACATGTTCCACACATTGTCCCTTCTACGCACGTTTTAGAATCATCGCTAGCGGACACAGAGCGATAGGTTATTGCGCAGAAAGAGTATCAAATAACACAAGAGAGACCTGGTTGGTCATTGCTGGCGTGTCAGTCAGACATATGCAGTATTAATAAAGGGGAATTTGAGCACGGATTCTTTTATCATTGTGCGTTAAGCCCCCTAGCTGCCCGTTCTCGCGGTCGTAAGCGCTGGTGCTTACCTCTGCCGCCTAACACGCCTGACAATTCGGGCGTACACAAGTGCCTTAACCTCCTGCTCGCGATGTCGGTCGATAAGAGAGAAGATTTTTTGAGCACCGGAACAACTGGTTGACTGACCTAACCTTTCAAATACTTACACCTATGAAACGGGCCATGGGTTCAACTTCGCATCCGCCAAAATACTAGCCCACGCCAGAAATTAGACAAGCCGAGAATTGATTGGAGCCCGGTCCAGGGATGGGAACTCAATCAATCGATATATCGATTTGGCATGGGCTTACAGACATCGGTGCTGTCATGTGCAGTCCCGTTCAGACGTGCGCCACTGGCAGCTGATTGGCGTGTATCCTCTATAATTCTTTCCCTTCTCTTGCTGTTCCTACCTCTGACGATGAACTCCTGCAAAAGTTTGCAAGCTCAGAACAATCAACCAATTGTTCCGGTGCCTGACAAACCTAATTCGATAGAAAAACGCGAATCGGCCCACAGGGTTTTTTTCAGTCCTAACATATTAAGGGAAACGTCAGGTAAAGCAGACCGTACTGAGGTTACATTTATCAGGAATAGGAATAATCGCAAGAAGACAGTCATTTTGGTTTCTCACGAGCAAAAAGAGACAATGCAAAAACAAACGAACCTGACTGAAAATACACTGTTTATGCGCATCGAGATAATTTCACACAACCTCGCACCTATGTGTCATTCGTCAACAGACTACAATCAAAATTAGCATGTAGCGTATGTAGAAATAAGACAAGCAGACGCACTCTCTGATTCCACCATCGAAAACGACAACATCCACCATTGCTGTAAATGGTTGTAGCAGCTGTGCAGTTTTTTTTCAGTTAAGCAGGCTGGCGATTCCCCCGCCTAAAAACTGGGTGTGGACGTGGATACAGCAGCTTGGAAAAGCTGCAGTTTCTTGTTGTTTTTAAAACAAAATTCTTTGGAGATTTATCACCAACTTGGAGTGCATCAATCTGAATTAAATTCGCTGGGCGCAGACCGAGAATTGATATGAGTTTGTCGGTCGGAGTCCGTCAGCCTCAGTGGACTAATCGGGTGGTATTAATTAGCCTGCCAACAGGCAGCCATCTAACTGCGACGTGTGCCACCAGTGTGATGTGTCGCGTAACCTAGACTATGGACTGTCTGTTGGCAATTTACGGCATATTATGCAGTCTGCGCCTGTCTAGCTTAATTAGGACTGATTTACTCTAAGTGGGCGATTAATTCCTGAGGAAATTTAAAAGGAGCAATTTATAAAATAGAGTATCTACCAGAAAGCTTGTGAAGCAGTGTTGGGGGAAGCGGCAGTCCGACTGCCGAATCCGGTGATGCCTATTCGGTGTGCTTCAGCAGTCTGGAAGCAAAGGCGATGACTTGCACGGGAATTAGTTTTAAATAGTAGTGGACTTGCGTTGCATCTACCACACTCTCGTCTCATCTGTGCCCGGTGGGGAACCCGGAGGCAGGCTAGGGCTCAGGAGTTCGGCTAAATTGGGGAACCTAATGCTTAGCCGAATCCCTTACAGCTGTGTCACGCAGCGGCAGGCTATCGGCAAAACACATATCTGGACAGATAGTATTTTCGACAAAGAAAACGGAGACTGGAATGGCCATTTCTAGCTTATAAGCTGTCGTCAGCCAGCCTCAAGTGGTGTCCAACTGGG